GAGTAGCCCAAGAGTTGACGGTGGGTGATGATGACTAGCTGCCTTCCCTCTAGTCTTACGCTGCTGAATTAGGGACGGCTAGCGCAGATAGCCCTCGTGTAGCTTTGCGCGAAATTCATAACAAACAAACTCGTTGTAATCTACATGCATGATACATAAAATTATTGAAATATGCATAAAAGCATGTAAAATGTACAGCAACCTACTTAAAAGTTAGCTATGGTGTATTCGTTTGTACATTGCACTGTTTAATCGTGATATGTAAGGAATAAAATAAGTTATATATTCACAGAATGACCGTTTTTATTTCTACATCACGAACCATTATGTGAATCGTTTTAAGAAGGCCTGCAAGTAAAAAAAAAAAGACCGAAAAGAAATCGTGAACCCTAAAGGACGTAGTTTCGTTAGACCATAAACTTTGTGTGTACTTACTGCATTTTGAATTATGTATTAGTTCGATCGAGTGCCAATAGAAAGTATATTGTGTGTCTTGTTTTCTTATACATCATGCAAACATAGATACAACACCGACGTCGCTCTGTAATTCAGATATCTATCTACCTATTTGTCTTTCTGTGTCTATCTCTGTCTTTCTATTTCTTTAGTTATTGACTGATTAAAACATTTTTTTTTATCTTACCCAAACCAACGGTTAAAAACAACGTAATTGTTAATGGTTGGCCCTCATTTTTCATGCAGATATAACAGCTGTGACATCAAATAAAAGAACGGGACAAAATATTGCCCGTCACAAGCCTGGAAAGTTGATTCTCTGAACTAGCTTCTCTCTCTCTGTTCCACAGGATTCTCCCTCTGTGTTATCTCCTAAGTCAATATGTTGGAGTTACATTAGACCTAACATTCTACACAGCATAAAGTACATTGCAAGCAGTCTGTCTGTCTGTCTTTCCCATTTTTGGGGGGAAGTTTCGTGCTGGGCATTCCATATTGTAAGTAGAGAAAAACGCGCAAACATGACAGTTTCTATGGTAACAGATTCTAATTTAGAGATACCGTAGTCATACTGCAGCCGTACAGAGAGATGCCGTACGAAAGATGGCGTAGTCATTTGTAAACTTAAAGAAAGATGCCGTAGTCATTCGTAAACCTAAAGAAAGATGCCGTAGTCATTCGTAAACTTAAAGAAAGATGGCGTAATCATTTGTAAACTTAAAGAAAGATGGTGTAGTCATTTGTAAACTTAAAGAAAGATGGCGTAATCATTTGTAAACTTAAAGAAAGATGGCGTAGTCATTCGTAAACCTAAAGAAAGATGCCGTAATCATTTGTAAACTTAAAGAAAGATGCCGTAGTCATTTGTAAACTTAAAGAAAGATGGCGTAGTCATATAAATAGATGTAATAGTTATATGACATGAACGTTGTTTAGATAGATGTAATAGTTATATGACATGAACGTTGTTTAGATAGATGTAATAGTTATATGACATGAACGTTGTTTAAATAGATGTCATAGTTATATGACATGAACGTTGTTTAGATAGATGTCATAGTTATATGACATGAACGTTGTTTAGATAGATGTCATAGTTATATGACATGAACGTTGTTTAAATAGATGTCATAGTGTAAT